GTGCCAGTGGGAGGGTGATAGAAGCAATTAGCTCTCAAAGGGTTTTCCTAATTAGGTAGTTGTGTGGCATTATTGACATGTTTTTCCTGAGTAATAGGTTTGGCTTTACTGATCATAACTGCATGCAGCTTTATGGGAACAAATATTTAGACTAGTAAACAGTGTTTGCTATCTAATCAGAAATACATTTGGAAGTGAATTCTAAAGTTCTGACTGCATGGAAACTACACCAAGTTGTTTTTTCCCCCCAAGATCTTATAAAAAGTAACAGGTAATTCATAATCAAATCAAAGAATCTGTCCACTCCATCTTGCTCTGTGCAAATAGAGGCACTGTTGACTTCCTTATCTTGCTCCATACCAGCCTTCCCAAATGTCCACTCAGATAAAAATAGGAAACAAACAAACAGTCTCACCCTTTGTCACCTTATGAATTATGATCCTAATATTGTTTTTAAATAAAATTATAGATTCATAGATCACATTCATAAAGTGACAAAGGGTGAGATTGTTTGCTTATTTCCTGTTTTTATCAGGAAATAATTAAATAAGTTATCCTAAAAATAACCCTATTTGCCTTAAATAAGTGCATGAACAGAATTATTAAAGCCTGCTTCATGAATATTTGACTCTTTTTTTCAAAGGAATAAGCTAGCTTCTCTTTGCCAAAGGAAAGGCTTTAATTGATGATAATATAAAGATTTGGTCCTGGAATTGCTTGATGTGGTCATTGGTAGATCTGATATTTGACAAGATAGGGGTAATCATTATTCTTTCATGAACTAGAATATGAAAAGTATAAAAATAGTATTAAGCTTCTAATACAAGTTGGAAACAATAAGGTTTTCCTAGAATCTATATATCATGTGAGCACTAAATCATAGCCTGTGAAACTGTTGTTTTTAGTATTTGAAAATGTTATAGTTCCAGCTAAGCTATATTGCGTAATAAATTTGAGTAAATATTGAGTAACAAATATATATTCCCATGCCTTCCTGAACTGTAGGCAAGGTCCATCTTGTTTACTTCTTAACTACAAAAATTCCTGTGAAATATAAATCATATCCTGACCCAACTATTATGTCCCTGGTCCTCAGGTCACCATGTTTTTAACTACTATGATAACCTTATTTATATATTTAGCATTCCTCAGGTGACTACCAGAAAACACTACACAATCTACTCCAAAAACAGTTATTAGAAATGAAAGGTAATGATAGAGATGTAAATCATAAAGTTTGCCTTTAAAAACAAGCCACTCTTCTTATTCAATGTGGCTGCTTACAGATGAGAAAAAAAAATAAAAGAACAAAACAACTCTTTACTTTCAGTTCAGTGCACCTCTGTGCCAAGCACAGCACATGCCCAGGAGAGGCATTGTGTCAGTTTGGCCCTGCTCGCCCAATGTCTGTATAAATCTGGAAACTGGGGAACATACACCAGTACTTGGGACCTGCAGTGGTAGAAGAACTGGGGTCCAGCCAGTGGCTCCAGAACCAGCATGCAAGCCTGGCCAGCCAGGGTCCAGACACAACACCATGGTTGGACCCTACCAGGCACCACTGCATAGCCTTCAGCTCCCACCTGCTGCAACTGGACCCTCCCAGCCAACTCTGTGTGTTGGCTCTGGAGCCTTATGCCAAGGCCAACCTGGCACACTCCTAGACTGGCGCGCTGGGTTTAACCTGGCACAGGGCTCCAGAGCCATCATGCAGGACCTAGCTACAGGCCAGCCTGCATGCCAGCCCAGTCCCATGTATAGATGGGGGGAGGAACTGTGGCAGCATTAATTGCCATGGTTCCCAGAGCCACAGCAATTAATGCCTGTCTCTGCTGCCAAATGTCTGGACCTATGGGAAACCCTTTTCCTCACATCTAATGCATATCCAATTTTCCCCAACTGGTTTGGGGAAAAGGGGTATGAGTTGTACACAAGAAAACATGGTAACAGCATTTTATGTACTCTGTCTCCTAGCTTCCAACCACAAGAGGGCAAGCCTGCAATACAATGTCCTTTCTCTTCTGTTACAAACCACTCTGCCCATAGTGTGCAAAACAGCATGTACTTGGCATATGCGCTGTTTTAGTAGGCACTTGCTAAGTTGCTTCACATGCAACGTGCTCGTTTCCAAGTGCTTTCCTGGACTTGGGCTTTGGAAGGCTGACCTAGTTGGGACTGGACCAGAATGCCCTCTGACCTGAAGAATATTGTGTGACTTGCAGTTAGCAAGGTTCCAGTATTTGGTCTTCAAGCCAACAGCCACTTTGGAACAAAATAGTCATCCTCTAGGAACACAAGACTCTGTTCATAAGACAGAATCTCTCACCTGGGGCTCATGGAGCAAAGACATCTCTCCAAAAGCAAGAGCAAAACCCTAAGAGCTATAAGGGAGTTCCTGCATGAAACTTAAAATGAGCCACAAAAGAAAAGTCTAATTACCTGACAGCAGTTATGCAGAATTAAATCTAGGCAGAGGTCCAGCCTATAATATCAAGAATTTTCAGAGAACTTTCTTGGTATGGAAATGCTTACCTAATGTAAATGAACCAACCTTTTGATTGGAGTTTACCAGAAAACCATTAATGGAACGATTTTCTGTCAAAAATATTGCTTAGCTGAAATCAAGATGTTTTGAAATCATGTCAGTTTTGCCAAATTTTGTTCTGAAAGGGAAAAAAGGGTTGGAGGAAATAGTTCATGGAATGTTGAACCATCCTTTTGATGTTTGTGGAAATGGGGCTTACATTTTTCCATTAGAAATGATTTTCCATTTCAATTTGCTTTTTAAAATATTTTGAACAACCCAGAATGTTTAGACTCTCTTTTTTGTTGTTGTTGGTTTTTTTTCTGTTTTAAGGTTTAATTCCAAATCAGAAAATAGCCAGAGTTCAAAAACTTGAGGTCATCTATGAAACAGAATTTCTTTTGTATTCTGCTTGTTGTACAATGCCCTTGCAAGTAATGCATTTTCTTCTAAAAGTTCGCAAGTGAAAAGTCCTATTAGATGTGCTAATAGCATTCTGCAGTTTGAAACACAAAATCTAGTCGCTACCCAACATCACCATTTCTTCTTTACTTGTGCACCATTTTATATTTTATGGAACTTTATATTTCACAGTAATTAGATATGACCTGAGAGAGCTGCATTTACTGTAATAATACTCCCCCAAACTGGGCATGTCTGCACATGCAATTACTGCACATGAATAAACTCCCGGGTGTGCCATCTGCAAATAACTCCAGAGCAATTAGCTCCAGAATTTATTCATATGCGGCATGTAGAGCCCAAGTGGAGCAGCCCTGGCTGGCAGGGAGCCCTGGGGGTCAGCCCACCAGCCCAGGGCTGCTCCAACTGGGCTCAGTGTGCTGTGGAGATGCTGGCTGGGGCACAAGGGTGCTTCAGCGTGGGGCTAGCTGGCAGGCTACTGAAACACCCTCATGACCCAGCCAATCAATCAGCATCTACACAGGCACAGCTGCACACAAGAAGACTCCACAGCAGGATAGTACTTGTATTTAGGGTAGTCCTTGCTGTGGAGTTTATTAGTTTCCTGCGACCTAATAGGGGCACATGTGTAGACACTGAGATGTTTACCATGCAGTTAATTAGTCAACTGCACAGTAAACGTCTCATGTAGACCCGCCCACTAAGTTTTATTCTCCATCCTTTATAGTAAATAGCACTTACTCCTGTGAATACACCCTTTAACTGGGTGAGACTGCTCCTGTAAGTCAGTCAGCTGTAATCATTGTGAGAAAAGATTACAGAACTGGATTCAATATAAAAATACACTTCAAGGGGCCTGTGTAAAAATGTATTCCCCAAACCAATTGTGGTTGTGCTCACTGTACTGAAACCAGTGACCAAGTATATTGCACAAAACCCAAGACAAGGGGGTCAGAGTTAAACTTCTTATTGAGATGTCATACCCAGTATTTATTATCTTGTTCAGGGGTCTGATGGCCATTACTTCTGAATGTTTTGCATGTATTAAATGGATTTATCTTGAGACAACAAGCTGAAACCAAGGTCTCTAGGACAAGGGGGAAAGTAGGAGAGTCACACTCTTGAAACAAGGAAGTAGACAATATGACAGATGAACAGAATTGCATATCAGCGTAATCAAGAGCCACCTGTTAGCACAGGGGAAAAGCATCTGGAATCAATGGGAAAGTGAAGAGAGAGAGAGTGTCTGTGTCTGTGTATTATGAGTAGGCAGGAGTAATGGGAAACCAAAATTAGTTCTGGGGCATGGAGAGACATGAAGCATAGAGGGAATGTGAGTGCAAGGAGGATCTGAACAACAGAAGAAAAAACCTTTAGAAAAAGATTCATGATGATATATTAAAAAGGAAACTATAGCAAAGTCAGGTAGGGCAGCAAAGTATGACAAAAAAGAAACTAACATGCAATTGCTTCATTCTTTTTCAACTACTGGGAGTGTGGCTCTGAAGTTTGTAATAGTAAATGTCTGTGTTTTTTATCCTAGCTGGTCCTTGGGCCTTGGACCCAAAAACCTGCCTATGGATGGGAGATGAGGCTCAGCAGGGATATATTTTGGGCAATTGTTTTCTTATTATTGCACAGAGAATGCTTAGTGTTAGAGAAGGGACAGCTCCTGTACAAAAGTAATCTTGCCATACTAAGAAGAACAAGAAATGAGCAGGTGCACTGTTTGGAGTGATGAATTGAGATAGGCGAGCTAGTGGAGTGCTGAAAAAAAATGCTAATGTAGGATTTGAGGGCAAAAAATTGTTGTTTGGGCTTAACTCCACTGAGCTTAATGGAGTAACTCTAGATTTAATGTATAATGAGGCTAGTCTGCAGGTGGACTTGTACTAGTTTAACTAAATCTTGTTCTAACATAGTCCTTTTCGTGCAAGGTCATATGGAGTAGAATCTGACTCTTTTTGTTTAAAGAATAAAGTTAATTTGCATGGACAGATTGGTGGTGACACCTTTTTCTGATGTTGATTTTTCCCCTCCCTCTTTTTTTCAGATGCTAGAAGTGATGCTCAGAAGGACAATAACTTGAAAGAACTCCTGAAAGAGCTGCCTGATGCTCACTACTGCCTGCTGAAATACCTGTGCTGTTTCTTGACACAAGTTGCCGAGCATCACATGGAAAACAGAATGAATGTTTGCAATCTTGCCACTGTCTTTGGACCAAGTTGCTTTCAGTAAGTTTGCAAGTTTCCACATTTTCCCTTGTTTAGGCTGCACGTATTTTGGAGCAGGTGGCATGAGGTGCAGCTCCAAATTCTCATTGTTTGAATTGATCATAAACTTTTCATAAGCAATGTTGCCATCTTGGGAATTCACCTTTAGGAGTAAGCTGCACCCTTTTGTTTGGATGGTCAGAGAAGGAGATGTTTTGCACTTGCAATACCTTTTATAAAGTAGTTTTCTAGTTTGCTATATGGTGTAGACAGGAGCAAGTGGAGCAGAAAATTTCCCAGATTTCACAAGTGGGGGGAGATTGCACCTCCCTTTGCTGCCAAGCACCATAGAAACTCCTGAGCACAAGGTTCAGAGATTAGAGAACGAGGTGCTGGAGGGCAGCTATGAAGTGCTGCTTATTTCTCTCTGTGGACTCTCAGAAAAAGAGGTCAAAGTCTCCTCTGCATGAGCAAGCCATTTGGTTCCTTCTTCTGGTCCATGTCTCAAATAGTAGCTCTGCTAATAAAGGACCCAAAAACCTGCCTATGGGTGGGAGATGAGGCTCAGCAGGGATAGACTTGAGATGTCTCACAGGATTCACACGTCTTAATGGGTGCTTTTTTCTGGCCCAACTCTTTGTTCCTTTTGGAGGGAAAAGTGTTCACTCTGTCAGTGCTGTTGTGTACTTTGAGATGTGTTATGATCATCTCAGATGCTGAAGACACATAAAGATTTATTGCCTGCTTCCTCACTCTTATCGTCAGGCTGTGTAAATCCTCTTGACTCCTACTCGGGTATATGAAAAGGTTTGAGTTTCCCTCGTAGCAGAGGGGAATTATGGGGTGGGACAGGGGGAAAGAGGATTCTAAGAACAACCCAACTGAGAAGCACACTTAGTCTGAGGCATATGTTCTGTTTTCAAGAATAAAGAAATCCACCCCATCCTCTGAGAAAAAAGGATGATGCAGGAGGGAGAGTTTTGGACAGTGAATCTGCATGAGTGGTTGCTGTAGTGACAGCAGAATGAGGATGCTGCCCACCTGCTTGCATGCCTGTTATCCACCCTCTGCCCCCAAGTCACTACTTTCCCACCTCAAGCCATGAGAAAGCCCTGTTGACTTCAGTAGGGCTGAGTCCTTATCCCACTCTGGCACAGAGTGTAGGTGCTCTGGACTTGTGCACATATTTTTTAAGTTGGTTCTTGCCCATACAGTACAATGTAAACCTCAACTGAAGTTTTCTCCCTCAAAATATGTTATTGCTTGGTTTCATTGGAGGGACCTCTCTCTCCTGTGCTGGGTCTGACACCAAGAGGGAATTGCTAATTTATTCCTTTTGACTCATCTTGACATGCAGTGATTTGTTAATCTAACCCCTAAATAAAAAGGACATTCCCAGAAATGAGGATCTGGAAGACACTAATTTTGACAGTTTCTGAAAAGGTACAACAGAAAAGTAATTGGTTTAAGAGGGAGAAAATGGTGAGGAGAGTGAACAAAGTTGTTGATTGCATCTTTCAATAACACCATCATCTAGATCAGGGGTGTCCAACCTTTTTGAATGTGGAGCCGGATCACAAACTTTTTATCATCCAGTGGGCCAGCGAGCCATGTTCAAAGACCTCACAGGAAGTGGTATCACACCAGGAAGTGATGTCACATAACCTTTGACACCAATGAAGTTGCAGGAAGTGACAATGAAATGTGTCTGGAAATGTGGTTTAAAATCCAAAATAAAAACAATATAAAAGCAAGAATGAAATAATACCAAACACTTGACTAAAATAAACACTTTTGCTTCTACTTACTTCTCAATGAATGAAAGAAGCATAACGCAAGTCGACAGATCAAATGTGGAAAAGATATCAGCCAGAGTGGAAACTAATCAAAGCAACTAAATATGGGCATTTTTGAGAAAAATCTTCAAGATTTACTTTTATTGAATTAATAACTTGTTAGTAACACATCTTTAACAAGTAGTAACAAGTTGAACTCCCAATCCCGCACAAAGAGAAACAGAAGCAAACACAATCCAAACACTGGACAGTATTTTTACAAAGATTTTTACCTGCTCCAAATTTACGTTGGAGTCCAGATCGTTCATGCTCTATTCTTGAACGTATTGTTCAGTCTTAAAGGAGCATACAGCACAGCTGCAGGGGGATCAGCCACAGCTTTCCCTCCCTGGTGCAGCCCAGCCAGTCCATCCCATCCCCTATCAAGCAGTGACTTCCCCACGTGCTGCTGCACTTTCCCCCTACCTGTGCCAGCTGGTCCCAAAAGACAGGAGGCTCCACCGCCACTTCTGCTGGCCAGTGCCTACCCAGCCGGGCATCTCCAGCAGCACATGGGAAGCCAGCTTCAGCCGCATGCTGCCCCGCCCAGCCAGGTCAGCACCAGCCAGGAAAAGCAGCATGAAGCTGAAGCTGGCTTCCCATGTGCTGCTGCAGACGGGAAGAGGCCGGCCAGGTCGGCACCAGCCAGCAGAAGCGGCAGCAGAGCCGTGTGCCGCTCAGGACTGACCGGTGCAGGCAGGGGGAAAATGCAGCTGAGCCCCCTGCTGCTCCGGCTGGGCTCATCCTGTCCCGAGAGGCACATGGCTACTTCTCTTCCCACACACACCGTGTCAGCAATGTCAAGCTGATGTGGTACATGTGGGAACCTTGTCCCTTCCCCAGCCCTTCAGCAGCCATTAGGAAGCTGCTGTGGGTCTGGGGGAGGGACAAGGGGTGGGAACGAAAGTAAACCATGTTTACTTTCGTTTCCCGTCGCAGCACCGCATGCCACAGAAAATGTCTTGGCAGGCCGCATGGTGGCCTGCAGGCCATATGTTGGACAAGCCTGATCTAGATCCTTCTGCTGATTGTCATCCACAGGACATTGAAGCAGCAGGGCAGCCTCAGGGGCCACTTGTGACAGTAACTTACTTCTTTCTAAATGCTTCTTAAAATTTGCTTTTGAAATACACTCCTTTCTTCTAATAATGTGTTCTAGATATAATGCTTGAGAGGGCTGCTTCTTGGTGGCAAAAGTCTTGGGTTTACATGATAAATTTTACTCACAGTGTGGCTCAAAGAAGAGAATTTTGTTCCATTTTTATCTAATCTATTCTATCCTGGACAAATTCTTTAAAAAAAAATCTTTCACACCATTAAAAATAGCAGCATGAGAATTACTTTGCTTTGTTACCATATGCTGGTATCTGGTATACATCGTAACTATCAACTTCCAAATCTTATTCACTGTTCACCTTAGCAGCTATGACATAGGCAGCTATTCTTCCCATTTTATCCTCGTCTCTAATATGTTGGAGTACACTGTGTCCCAGGGGCACAGGTCCAGAAAAGGGGAAAGCCTCGTTCAGAGGCAAACCCCAAGTAAAAAGAAAAGAAAACAGCAACTTACTTGTTGCAGGGGCTGGGAAGAGCAAAGAAACGCACGGTGGGAAACCGCCCGTGCAGTTTATCAGCCGCGCCTATATTCAGCTGGGGTCAGGTGACGTCACAGGGAGACGCCACCTGGTGGAAGTAAAAGGCAGGCCCAAAGGTGCAGGAGTGGGTGGAGGCGCCACGGGAGACTCCAGGGTGGAGAGTGCCCCGCGCCTGCAGCCGTCGACTGTGGCAGCAGCTGAAGCAGCAGCAGCACTAACAACAGCAGTGATCAGAGCCGCAAAGGAAGTTCGGCCGGGACCAGAGGCTGGCTGAGGCTAGGGCGGCAGGAGCCATGAGGATTCTTCATGGTGAAGAGGACCGATGGGGGATCAACAGGATCACCAAGGGCGATGGCAGAGACTGCACAGATAGCCGGCGCGGGAGCCCTCAGCAAAGGCAACGGGTGCCACAGGTCCAGGGTGGAAGAGGATCCTGGAGGCCCTGGCTGGGGTGAAGGCTCGAACCTTGAACCGGAGGGCTCATTAGCCTAGGGGGAAAAAGGGGCATTAGAAGCCAGGAGGGCGTGGGGACTCCCTCCCATGGGTGCTCCTCTTCTTGTTTTTCCTTTTGCCGTGCGCCCCTGGCAGTTACGTAATTAGTGTCTTGATTTTGTTCATATCTGATCACCTTAGGGTGAGGGGTTGCCGTGAGGTTGTCGATTGTGTTCCCTGTTAGGGTTTGTCTATTTTCCGTTCCCTGGTGAGGACAGGTTAGCGAAACCCTTAGTACCAGACCAGAGTAGCCAGGACTCTGCCCAGAGGCAAAGACGAACAGTGTGAGGGTCCACTGAAGCCCAACGGCTCCAGACAAAGGCGGTTCAAGGCATTAAGGAAGATAAGTCCAGAGGTCGAAGGTCACCAGACCCATTGGGTCCAACCAGGGCTCAGGGTGCCTGTAGGGGCCAGGGGTGCCGGTCACCAGAAAAAGCCGCAGGTTCCGGGGAGGATACCAGCAGGGGACAGCCGCAAAAAGATCTGGAGGCCCATCTCGAAGGTTGGTGCACGGCCGCTGTGTAGGGGAGGTTGGAGCCCCGAGAACATCTGCCAAGACACGTGACAGCTCTGGAGGCATCCTTAGAGGGGACCCCCTTCACTGAAGGAACACTCAAAGTCATGGCAGGCGAGTTTGGGGGTCACCCTGAAGGCAACCAAGGTACCCTCCGGGGCCGGCACAAAGGTCCCTGACAAGCTAGGGCAGCAGCTTGGGCAAAGGCAATGCGACAGCGTGCCATTGAGAGGAGATGGGCACACATTGTTTAAATGTTTATCACCCAGCAAGATGGCGCCAGATACCCAAGAAGATGCTTTTAGCAAGCAGCACAAAGTAGACATTTGCTTTTAAACTATCATGTGAACAGTATTTATATCAGAGCCTACCTTTTCTTAAAATGGGCATGACTTTTTGCTTTGGATAATGAAGATAATGATATTGTGGTATAAGCACCAAGACTTGTTATGTCCAGTACAAAAACAAATTACCTATGTGAATTTCAAGAAAAAGCAAAACTGAGAGGACCACATTAATAAGGAAATGGATATAAGTGAAACCTGTCTAACTTCTGAAAAGATAAAAACAGTTCCAAAAGGTAAG